CCCCCCCCCCCCCCAGGACTGCATGCTTCACTTTTGAAGTACGAATAGAACTGAAAGTATCTTTTTCTTTATATTACATATGTTTTATGTTTAGGAACATTTAGGTTGCTATTATCAAAAGATGTCCTTTTCATCTCCTGTGAAAGGGCACATTTTTCAATATGATGGACAACTGAGCATGGATTGACACTTGAATATAACATACCTTAAAAGAAATTTCATATTGTTCTCCTCCCCAGATGTACATTCCAGGATCATATTGTCCCAGTTCTTTAAAATATAGTCTATTAATTCCAAACAAGCCTCCTGCCATCACTGGTGACCTGAAAAAAAAAGTCATTTAAAATGTGATTAAGTCTTTTTACGTAAGGCATGTTAATTCATATTTCCGAGACCTTGACAGCTCACCCTGGGTGGCAGAGGCTGTCTCGCTCCAGAACTTCCCTGTTGTATGCAGTTTTGTTATCATGCTCTCAGACCATTCCTCTTGACCAGTTACATGTTGATCAGTCTGGTGTGACTGGCCATCATATCTGGCCATGAGTAGCTATATGTTTAGTACTGCCGGCTGAAAAGCATCCCTTTGTTGAGCCATTAAGGAAGCAGACAACACCCCCTCCCAAATCTCCAGCATTGGCTATATAAAGTAAGACATGGCCATAGTTCTATACCTGTTTAACTGTACTTACTTTACAGGCTGAGTAGCATCCTTTCGTCGAGCCATCATTTCAGGTGTGAGTGATCTTTCCTTGTAATCAAATCTCCAATTAAAAGTTCCTCTAATATAAGGGTCCATGGGTTTGTACTGGAATGTATTGTGATCGATAAAGTCTATTGTAGGGCACACTGCTGTATGAGGATCCAATGCAATCCTTTCTAGTAGAGGTGGAAGCCAACCCTTGTTAGCTTCACAGTGTGCATCAAGGAATATGATTATTTCACCAATGGAATTGTCTGCTCCAATGACTCTTGCTTTGATCAGACCAACTCTTTCAGTTGTGCGGACTATTTTAATCTTTCCTAGTTTGGTTGTGTAATCCTCAAGCTTCTTTTTTAAGTGCTCTGGAAAAAAAATTCAATATAATAATATCAGATTGAATAATTAATTGTAACAATATTAAGGTACCCTTGCTTTCGAAGGTTTGATTTTTGAGGGAGGTAAACTCTGAAACCTTAATTAAGCATAGACAAGAAAACTTGACTGGAATGTGAGTTGTGGGAATCAAAGTGGTGAAGTAGTATTTCATGTGACTCTCACCTCTTGGGACTAAGGTATAAATATCATACTATTGTATTTGACATTAAACCAGAAAAAAAGAGATCAAAACGACCTCCAAGATTCTACAAGCCATTATTAAACACGCAGCTATTACCGGAAGTGACATCTATTGATAGCAAGCTATTTATTCAAATGCTTATTAATTATTCATGTGTTTTTAAATGTTATTCTTATGATGGAACTTACAATGAGTACTGAATGCAAACCCAAGTATTGATACAGGCAATACATTAGCAATGCATCTTACAACATGTACGACATTACATCAATAATCCTGACCTTTAGAGCTAAAATCATCCACCATAACTATCTCTTGAAGAAGATGCGCTGGAGATCTAAGGAGGACTGTATGTACTGTTCGTAGAAGTGTGGACCATCCTTCATTATGGAATACTATGACGACACTTGCTTTGGGTAAGTCGACAGGGTATTTTCGCTTTTTGCACCTTGTAATGACAAACAAATGGTGTTTTTAAAATTATTTATTCATTTATTTAGAAACTTTTACATATACCATATACAAGATGCTAATAATTAGACAAAGAAGACCCACTTTGAATGTTTAGTCTGATTCTCTTAGCTCAAAACTATTTGTTTAACCTTATGCAAATTTGTAGTGACCTCCTTGACACTGACATTGACTTTATAATTCACTTTGCTTGATAATGGTGCCATGTCAACACCCTACTTATGGCTGTTATCTTTATTAAGAAATTATAAAATGTTTAACAGCTTGTTGAAATCTTAATAATTTTCCGATAAACAGAACCTGGAATATAAAGGATTTTGTGTCTTGATGAGGCCATCAGTAATGAAGTCATCAAAACTTGAAAATATGTGTTAGCAGGTTTTAATTATTGAATAATTTCCAGCCAAATGGTAAAAAATTCAATCCTAAAATATTCACTGATCAAGTTTCCCTTATCTAAATTCAAAATGGTTTTGGATTTTATAGTTATGTATAATTCAAACATTCTGATTTTTGGGTTGTTTGCACCTGCTGTGCATAGTGTAGCTACCTCAAGACTGGCCTTGGAAACTTTCTTAATAATTATTAGGGAAAAAAGCTCACTAAATATGCCAAGGGTGGGGGGGAGTGGGGGAATGAAAACATGGGTTTTTTTTGGGGGGGGGATCAAGACATGGTTGGGGGGGATATGAATATATGTTGGCAGGGGGGTGATAAAGATATGTGGGCAGGGGGGTACCAAAATGTTTGAGGAAATAAAAGGGGGGCTCTAAAAATTTGTCATGCATACAAGGGGGGCTCTTCATCGTAATTTGAAAATTTTCATGGGTTGTTTGGGGCTTCTTAAATTAAGTAAGTCTTAAAAAGGGCCCTGTAAAAAATAAAGTTCTTGATGAGTAATCTTAATCCCCCTCGGCATATTAAATGAACTTTCCCTCATACATATTTCAGTATCTTACAAAACTTTAACTAATAAAGTGGATACGGTACTATCGTCGTGTACGGATTAACGAAGTACGTCATAGGTTTCCAAACACACGAGTGGGACTTAGAAATTTTGGTTCTCCTCACTTAGAAAAAAAATTAAGTGAAGACACCAAGAATCGAACTCGGTACCTTCGGCACCAAAGAACTATTACAATGCCAACCCCAACCCTAACCCTAAACCTAACCCCTAGACCATGAAGTGAATTCGGTTAGGTGGTCTCATTTTTTAGTCATATTTAAACGATGTATCATCAGCGCGTGTACATAAATATTTATTATAGTTTAATTTATGCTATCGTAGGGTACGATTACTAGCCGATTACTTGAAATTTGAATTTGAATAGAATTCCCCTGACAATTCCTGTACACGACGATACAACCGTGGATACAATCTTAAAAAAAACATGACGTCTCATTGGAAATTGTACAAATTAACACTTTACTTCATATTTGTAAAAAATTCATTATCAAAATAGGAGAAGGTGATTGAATAATATGAATAAATATTAATTGTTAAATTGTCCTTGGTTGGAGTAAATCAGTAAATTAATGACCATTTATTGAAACATTGGCAGTAAATTTTGCCACTAATTCAAATGAATATATCTATATCTATATATAGATATATTTAGATATACAATAAGAAGAAAAGTAAAAGCAATATCTTAATATCTCAATTTTAATCATAAGGTGCCGAGTTGTTAAATACCCAATATTTTTAATTAATATATTCATAAGTCATAAGAAGGTGCCCTCTTGTTAAATACACAAAAAGTAGAATATGCTCTAGGTGATTGGCTCAGTAAAACTTACTTTATTAAGTATGAATAAATTATTCATCGTATATAGATAGCTGTTAACTAGCTCTAGTTCATAGAAATATTTACTTAACAATGTAATGATTTGTAGTTGCCACGCGTCACCATTAAGCTTTTTAAAGCTTCTTATACTAAAAGCTTATAATTATGTTATAACTAACCTGAGGCTTTTGATAACTCAAATATTTTTTAAGATCGACCACTTTGAAATGAAAAATGAATAACGTTATGAGGCATAATATATCCTCAAAAAATATTAGAGCATAAAGTATATATAAGCTTAAACTTACTCGTCATGTCTTGTGTCTTTTATAGATCGCTCCAATGAAATTCGGTCACTCACAAGCTGGTTAAAACCATATTCACTGTATGCTTCTTGTTTTTTCGATTCTTCGGCAGGTTTAGTCTCTACTGGCTCTCCTCCTTCACCTGGGCCACTTCTCGATATTTTATGTTTTTCAGGGGTTTCAAAATCGTCGATTAACAACATAGGTCCCAGCTGTTCATTGGTATCATCGTTTGAAAAAGTGTCTAAATTGGACTTGTGTCGCCCTACATTTACAATAATATATAGCACAATGCATGAAAATATCAAAAGCCCTAGACGGGCAAATCTTTTTGGAGTAAATCTCATAGTTAAAATTGTAAATCAAAAGATAAACAACGCAGAGAGGGCGACGATTTTACAAACGAGATCGATTGTCACAGCTTTTTTTCCATGGCCAGTTTATGTAAACGAGGAGAATGAGGATAATTGTTGAAGCGAGGAAACACTTTGGATTGAATTAGAAATATCCAGTCTGAGGTAAATAGAAAATTAACCACAAATAGTCCTTAGAAGTGTCTATTTACGTCTTGTCTTGAATGAATTTGGTCGTAATTTACTGGCTAAGATAACGATGTATTCAACTCAATCTATCACTAGTAGAGACCCAGTAGACCATTTACATTACTGTGTACACGTCGATCGGCAATCCAGATTCCAAGACAGTTGAATATCAGTATGGAACCGCACTTTTCCTAACTGTTGGGATGGAAGAATAGCAAGTAGCCACGAGTAAGCGGATTGTTATAGATGATATTCTTCTACAGAGGGTTTAATCGCCGGTAAAGATGATTCAAGCGTGTAGTGGAAGTTGGGTAGGTACTTCATGTATGGGGACACCAAATGTCCTGGCTATAGTACTCCAATGATATATATACCTATAGCATGTATGTGTAGTGCACG